AAAAAAAAAAGAAAGAAGAAAAACTCCAAATCAGGAAGCAGTAAACACACGGGGGTGACAGCGCCGGATAACTTTTTTTTAAAACACAAGAGCGAGTCGGGGCCTTTGTTCTCCTCCTCTGCCCGCATCCAGTCGGCATTATCGGGCTGACGGAGCTTTGAGGTGGCCATCTGTGGAGCACGGATTTATTGCTATGGGTGATAAATTCGAAGGGGGCCGATCCCTCCCTTTGGCCCGATACCTCTGGATGCCATTTGGGTGTTTCGGTGACCACCCCTCTTTGACTCCTCAGAAAAAAGGCCCCCTTGGTCTTGTGAAACGAAGGGACGGGGTGAAATTGGCATCATTGGTTTGAACGTTACCTGATGGCAGTTTCCCCACCTTTTCCTTTTCCCCTCGCTAGGTTTCTCTTAGCGGAAGCTCAACCAACAATCACGGCCTCCCTGATTTGTAGCTCAAAGTGGCCGTGTTTGATCCTCCAGTATCACGTTACTTGTTCGACCGACGGGCAAATACCAAAAGACCCTCCGCATGTATACATCCGCTGTCCAAACACCAGCGTTATCTGTCTCTTATCGCCCCGGGCGGCTCACCTTATCTAAGTTAAATACAATAATGTGCTTATTAGGCTCTGCTTCATGGCTACTTGGCAGGCGTGTTTGCTCAGTAATAAGAGCTTGTCAGAAGCGGGGCAGGTCACCGGAGAGGGAGTTGTGCGAGTGTGTGTGTGTGTGTGTGTGCGTGTGTAAATGTCGGAGCCTAAAAAAACCCCAAGATATTATGTTTTCAGTGCAGCTCTGCGGTAATTGAATAAGTCCCGAGTACCTGAGCAAGTCCGCAGCCCGCGGGGCTCCGGGGCCTGTCGCAAGCCAATAGCTTTTTTCTTTTTTTTTTTTCTTTCTCTCTTTTTACCTCTGCTGCAGGTGGCGCGCCGCCAAAACGTCTATTACGTAATTAATCTGCATTGATCATCTGGTTAGCGCATGAATCAAGTGGCGGAATGAAGTTTTGAGGTCGCCCGCCTGCTCCCCCCCTTCCAGTGGTTAAATATGGAGCAGGAGTTCATCAGACAATGGCGTCGCTTGTTTGAACTCGAGGTGATAAGTCAGTCTCGGGGCTTAATGAGGTTGTAAGTTGGGCGTTTAAATCGAGGGAAGCTCAGAAGAATTGGGCCGGTCCGGCGCGGGTCGTTCCCCGGGGAATCGTAAAAATGTTTGCATTTGTGGGTCTATTTTCTTATTTCAAATTGTCCCAAGACCCGAAACCCTGGTCAGGTTTCCTCTCTTTATTTTGAGCTTTCACCACGCGCAGTAAAAAAAAAAGAAAAAAGGAAAAAAAAGGAGTTTAAAAACGGCAACAGATATTGTCCCATAACCTTTTAGCGCTCTTTTATTAGAATCGTTTAACTAGTGGAACATTAGCACGAGAGTGAGACGTTTCCTCTGTGTGTCAAACCGGGTTTGAACAGAGAACCTGGAGAGCACGTTACTGAGTGAATCACGGCTCAAATAGTGCTTGGCAAAGCAAGTCCTGCGTGGCCAACGGACCTCATCAGCAGAAAAAAAAAACCCGAGCCGCGTTTCGCCGCTGCAAGATTTAGCAGGAAATTTACAAACAGGGGGGAGTAGCGCCGGGCCTTTGCAGGACAAGGTAGTTTTGCTTTAAGGGAGGGCGAGGAGGGAGTGAAAGTGAGACGTGTAAATCAATGCCTGGTCTATCTCATGCAGATAGTGGCTGAGTGCGAAACAAAAACACACACACACACACACAAACACTCAGAGGGTGAGCACTGCAAATAACATCCAACCAATTCTTCCTCTTTTTTTTCTAGTTAAAGAGGCCAGGATCTTTGAAATTCAGTATCTTTTTTGACTCGATTTAAAACAGAATTGGAAGTTTGATTTCTCCCCTAACGCGCCCCTCTTTCCCTTTTCCCGTAAATGACGTTGGTTTTTAAGCTATCGTTTCAGACACGGCAACAGCATCCTGACTATTCACTCGACAAGTGTCTTTGAAGGAGACAGATTAAGGCTAATCTTGACTGCCCTCATTAGAAGCCGCACGTTTCCGAGACCGAGACCACGTAACCATTTTCAAAGATAAAAATAAATAAATAAATAAGAAGAAAAAAAGACTTCCCATCAGCTCTTTTGTAGTCCGTGTCTTAAAAAGACCAAAGATTGCACCAAACTGTGCCAGTTTCTCTCTTTTCTTTAAAAAAAAAAACTTCTTTCTGGTGGTTTTTAGCTCTGAAGTGCATTTATTTAAATGCAGTGCGTTGGAAAGCAGCTTTTTTTTTCGGAGAAACATTATCTGTTTACAGGGCAGGACCATGCTGCCATTTCTTTTGAGAAACCGATACTCCAACAAACCCAGTGCTGCGATCTTGGTTCTGAACAAAATCTGCAGAATTACCCTTTACCCCAGCTGACCTTGCGCAGGCCCGATATCCTCAGTGGGTTTGACAAAAAATTAGACTGGACAAAAGACCGAAGAGGGGCCTGATAAAAGGATGGGTTTTTTTTTTTTAGTGCCGTGAGGAGACGGGGAGCTTTACCTCTCCATTCTCACAGGCTCAGCCGGGGTCAGAGCATCCACAGCCGCCGTTGTGGCTAAGTAGTTTTAATTGAAGTAGCTCTGCCATCATTAACATTGCTATCATTATTACAAAGCGAGCGGGTTCGGATGATACTTGTGTCCCCAGCCGCCGCCGCCACCTCCCCATCCCCACCCCCAGACACCCGCACATCATTATGCCGTGGCATCTATCAGATACCGGCTTAATTAGGGCCTGTACAGCACATTAAGCAAAGGGAGTAGCCGAGCTCAAATATTTATAAGGTTGAGTATATTTATGATCTGTGTCATAATCCCTTATTGGAAGATTTCAGTGGAGGCATTAACAAAGCAGACCCTTGCTGTCCTTCTTTTCTCTTCTGGACACAGAACGACTTTTTCTCCCTACTGCTCCCTCCTGGTTCTGTCACCGTTCTATATTAAATGCAATGCGACTCCTCAGAAACATATTTCCAGATTTTACAAAGTGCTTTAAGGCATTCTTATTCAGCTTCGAGCATTGATTTTTGAACTTACTTCAAAATTCGGCAGAAGCAAAGGAAAGTTCCCAGCAATCACAGGCACTTTGAGTGACCTGGGCAAAGCAGCAAAAAGATGCAACAAATGTCCCTGAGCGGGAGATTAAACTAATCAGAACAGACAAAGTTTGGCTGAACTTTTACCTGTTGAACTCTGATTGTTATTTTTTCCCCCAGATAGGCTCTATCTGCAGGCACACTGTGCTCTTTTTGCAACACTGGAATCACCACACTTTCAGCTCCTA